GTTTTAGTAGCAAATATCAATTAATGTAATAAATGAAGTGAGTTTTTTTCTTGTGATATGAAATATGTATTAAGTTCAGTAATACATTGTATGTAAAAATATTTTGTAATATCAAATCACAGTGTTTACGAAATATGCAATGACATACATTTGCCGACCCTATGCAAATATAAAACTACCTGTTATTTACGCCGGACTATGTTGGAATTGTCACGTAGCGGGTTACGGCTGATGCGCGAGGACCCTTCGTGATACGGGAATGAAAGCTGATATATGTGGGTCACACTAGGTCCTATGCACTTACAAATAATGTAAAAAAAAATATGCAGACGATATGCTTTTTAATATATAACAACAAAATTTGGAAACAACATTAATATATTTTTGTCCTATCTTGACACGGAATGAATGACTCGGCATTCTTAGGGGCTGCTCTCTGTTACTTAATCTAACTACAACATAGTTGGTTACAAACATATCTATTTACAGCAAAAGGAAATTAAAACAACACACTTAACTTAAAAGAAGAGTGGGGCGATCCCCGGCTTGAGCGATCTCATCAAGGCCTTTGATAGAGTTTGGCACAAAGGGTTACTACATAAACTAAAAGCATATGGTATATCGGGCAATGTTTTTAACTGGTTTGAGAATTATCTTGAAGATAGAAAGCAGAGAGTTCTATCTGAAGGTCATTTTTCTACTTTTAGGGTTGTTAATGCCGGTGTTCCTCAGGGATCAGTTCTCGGTCCTTTTTTATTTCTATTATACATTAATGACATCACTGATATAGTCCAGAGTAACATTAAGCTGTTTGCAGACGATACATCATTATATGTCATCGTAGACGAAAACCCACAACTAGCAGCAGATTATCTTAACCAAGACCTAGATAGAATTAACAACTGGGCTAGTACATGGGACATTAAATTTAACCCCTCTAAAACCAAATCATTAATTTTTTCTAGAAAAAAAGAACCTATCCATCCTCTAATTAATTTCTCTAATACTTGTGTAGATAATGCCCATGATCACAAACATCTTGGATTAACTTTTTCTGAAGATGGCACTTGGTCTACCCATGTTCAATTAATATATGAAAAGGCTAGTAAAAGAATAACAATACTTAGGTATCTGAAATATAAGATTGATAGGAAATCACTATGCAAAATATATACAACATTTATCCGCCCAGTGCTTGAATATGCAGATATTGTCTGGGACAACTGCTCTGACAATCTTAAAAATTTATTAGAATCTGTACAACTAGAAGCTGCAAGGATTATCACAGGTCTAAGGAAAGGTACATCACACCAAACTCTATATAAAGAACTAGGTTGGGAATCCCTGTCTGATCGAAGGATGAACCATAAGCTAACTCAGATGTATAAAATAACTAACAATTTATCACCCACATACCTCCATGACATAATTGATCCTCTTACTCATAACCCAGAAAATGATAGGTATACTCTAAGAAATGTAAGAATGTTTAACCCACCACTATGTCGTACAGAATCCTATGCTAAAAGCTTCTTCCCAGTAATGTGCAACAAGTTCAATGGACTTGAAAATGATATAGTACATTCCCCTACTCTTAATAAATTTAAGGCCAAGGTGTATAATAAAATATGTTGTAATAATGATATCTCGGATGTATTTAAAAATTGTGAAAGCAGAAAGGATAACATAATCCTATGTCAACTGAGAAATGAGGCGAGTAACCTGAACTATGATCTATTCAAAGATCACTTGAAAGAGTCTCCATCTTGTCTGTGTGGTGATGCTTATGAAACTGCTACACATTATCTTTCACAATGTCCAATGTATACTAATGAGAGACAAACTTTAATAAATGAGATTTTTGAAGTGTGTCCGGTTAATCTTGATACTAAAACACTTCTTAATGGAAGCACTGTGTTAAACAATACTGAAAATAAATCTATACTTGATAGTGTTCTAAAATATATATACAACACAAGAAGACTTGTTTAACTAATTAAAACAATCTATAAATTTTGTTATATATAGTCATAAATGATAAAATTACTGTCCTTAAACCATTATGTGATTCTACTGATTGTTATATTTACATTGATGTTTTAATATTATACACCTAAGGGATTAAGCTTTGTAAGCTGTTTTTACTGATGGGTGCAATAAAGTAAAACATAAATGTGCTAAGTTTGAATGCTTAGTGTTCTGTGGTTTAATCTGGATTCTTCTCGAGTGGATGATATGTGAACGGTAAAGGCCGTTAGAGACTTTTTGTCTGAAACTCGATGGGATGAAAGATTTACACATAGAACACTGGCAATACATCTTACACATATACTACATTATCAAAATCTTCTAGCTGAATTGCCTCATTTTATTTTTTCATATTTTGATGTTGTTGTATCCCTTACTTTTTATCACTCCTACCAATGATATATATATTGATACTAAATGGTTCTATACTTCTAACTACTTCATGCAACAGCAGCAGGGTATGAACAGGGGGCACTAATGACTTGCAAAACAAAAAACAAAAAAACAATTGTAGCAATTTCTCTGTTTAATATATCATTAGGGCATTGCTTTCCTATTACTAATTAATTATGATTGACTTTTTAATATGAGCATTGTATAGCTAAAAATATCAATTAAATATTTATATGTAATTGAAACATACATGGAATTATCTCCCCTATACCATCTGCTATATATATATATATATGTCTATGCTACCTATTATATATGATTTGCATCAATATTTTCTTACAAACCATTTCATTCATCTTTGTCTTTGTCATGTCAACCAAAGGAGAGAACTTATATAGGCCTAGCCTGCTGTTCAATCCTATTGTTTACTCAATAAAATATGATGAAATAAAATCTCAAGCTGGTGACTAAAATAAGTTGTGGGGTTATCCCCAAGGCTTGAGCGATCCCAAGCTGTGGAGCGAGTAGCTAACAGGCGGCCCTGCAAACAGGCATCGAGCGACCCCGGTGCCTGAGTTTTTCAAAGTATAAGTAAGAACATGGTTTACAGAGCGATCCCCATACAGTATTAAAGAAATATTATGATGTACCTATATAAAAAATAAATAAATAAATAAATTAATAAACCTGAACAAGCAAGGTGGTGAAGGGGTGGACGGTGGGAACAAAAACAGACAGTGCTGATGCTGAGACTGCTTGAAATGCCTGAAGACAATATCTAAAGGGCTATCTCTATAGGCTGAATGACCATTGGTCAACCAGGTCACGTGACATACTGTACAATTTACCAAATATGGTAGCGTAGATCGAATAGTAAATATTGTGTACAAACAATTATTTAGGTAAACACAAATAAACATTTTATGCACAACAAAACAAAGAATTAAAGTTCAAAAACTTATTGAGTCTAAATTTAAAGTAACTTGTTCAGGTTATATTAATTATCTTTTGGCATTCTTAGGGGCTGCTCTCTGTTACTTAATCAAACTACAACATAGTTGGTTACAAACATATCTATTTATAGCAAAAAGAAATTAAAACAACACACTTAACTTAAAAGAAGAGTGGGGCGATCCCCGGCTTGAGCGATCTCAAGCTGGTGACTAAAATAAGTTGTGGGGTGATCCCCAAGGCTTGAGCGGCCCTGCAAACAGGCATCGAGCGACCCCGGTGCCTGAGTTTTTCAAAGTATAAGTAAGAACATGGTTTACAGGGCGATCCCCAACAGGCACTCTGACTAGCTAAGCACGCCCTATAGTCACCTACCCTAAAACTATGTTAGATTACCAAAAAGCAAACCAGGATTAAGAAATGTACGTGATTTAAAGGGGGTGCTCCCCGGCAGGCACACAAACTGGTTATGATTACAAAAAATAAAAATACAACAACAAGCATATAATGAATTGGGGGTATAATTCCCCGAATTACATTTCCAAGACAAACGTGCCCACTTAGTTTTCACTATAATATCAGTAATAAAATATCAGTCTATTCAGGCCATGGTTTTTACATGTAACGATATATTTGCTTCTCCAGAGCCTTTTTTTCTGATGTTTGTGTCCTGCTGATAAATAAATTACTTAGATAATGTTTTCTGTACAAGGTAAGTCGATCTATGCCGCAGCTACGCTATATTCGCCATCACGACCTGTTTTCCATCCATCTACCAGCAGTGGCGTAGCAAATAATTTTTCGCAGTGTATGCTTACGTAGATGGAATAAAAAATCTACCAGGCCTTAGAAGCAATCTCCCGTGTTCTGGGAACACCTTTTTGTCTGATTATTAACAAGTAAAAAATATACCGGCTAAAATAATGCTAAAAGACCATTATCTGAGGATAACACGGTAGAGTCTATAATATGTTCCATCGGACTAAAATTTTCAAGAATATTTTTTTTTTATTTCTCTTCCTTTTTTTTAATTGATACGGACGGTCCATATAAATCATTAAAAAACCATTAATAAAAATATCAGTTAAAAAATATCTTTAAATGTTTAGTGAATGCTTGAGCATACAAGCATACATGTATGCTACGCCACTGGCCAGTATTATAAATCTGATCACGTTTCACAGATTTTTGGTGTGATCGATAAACATTAACATGAACATCATGCAAGAAACCCTTCTCTTTTGATGGCACATACCTTGTTATATACCATTTTGACACCTGTGCCTTTGCAACTGTAAAAAACACTTGGGTTACACTAGCCCATTCACTTAAACTATAAAGCGCAGTTTGACTTAAAACTGGTAGACTACAAAAATAATCTAGAAATGCAAAATCTTTTTCAAATATAATTGGTTTTGGTCAAAAGTCGACATGCACTGTCTTGGATTAAAGATTAACATTCAGCATCATACTCATTATATACCCATTAACGAAGGTAAAGGGGAGACATACTGGATTTAATGTGGTCCGTCTATCTGTCAGGATTATACCCGATCAACTACAGTTTTCATCTAAACTTTCGAAACTTTGTGGATATAGTCATCCCACATTGAAGTTTTGCACCTGGACTTATTTTTTGGATCCGACTATTTTTGTTGCAGTTATGCCCCTTTTAGTTATGATGAAAGACTGAATCTTGTCAGAACAACTACAGTTTTCATCAAAACCTTTCGAAATTTCCAGTGATTAATAAGCGGGTAACTTTGATGGTTAATAGTTTTAAGTTTAAAAATAAGCACTTTCTCTTGAATGTATATCAATAATAGTGTTGGCATTTATAATTGCTTCATTTCAAATTTCACCTTTTACATTTCATTATTTTCCATGTTCAAATATCTGACTAACGCCTCTTTCAGTACTTCGTTACTTTGATCACCGTCTGATGTACTACTGTGGCTATTACATGATACAAATGTGTCTATTATATATATGAATATTAAATTTGTATAACCGTGCAATAATTTATTTCACGTTACTTTATGTTGTATATAAACATAAAATTCTTTTTTTTTCCTTTTTCAAATTCGGATTCATTGCAACACAAATACGTGCTGTGATTTGCTGTTTGTGAATCAATCCCTCATTCACCAGAAAAAAAACAGCATATTGGGTAATGTGACCTATACGTGAACATGTATGAAAAATTATAATTTCATTTACTTTCAAAACTATCACACTATGTAATACCAATAATTACAAGTCATTGCTCGGGGATTATATGAAGTAATATAACAATACGATACTATCTTGGATACATTACAAGTCTCTTCTTTTTAGAAGCTGTACATACATTTTGTATTGTTAGTAGTGTAGACATAATACGCTTGTATGTTTTGAGAATGACCCCGTAACACTGGTCTGATTGTAACATTGTACTGTCAGTACGTTGGTGATAGTCTCTCCTGTATATACCTCACACTGGAGATGGGCTCGTATTTATCAGACTTATCTAGACAGCTGATCACCACATCGTTGTCTGGCACAACAAAGAACGCGACAGACTGACGACTCTTTGTCTTCCTAATTTCTTCATCCGGAATCACCACTCTGTGTTTCTGAAATATAACAATTAAAAATATTTTCCATGCTTTTAATTATCTAGTACATGGGTATACTTTCAAAATTTGTGTAAAATCTAATTGATGTTATAAATAAAAAAGCAGCCGACTGTTTAGACGTTTAACGATTCACTTCCTTATATTGCACAATACTACGATTTATTACATCAGAGGATAGTGACAAGTATGCAACAAAAATGTATCAAAACACTAGGCCTCCAGCAACCCACATTCGTCAAATTAAGGTTTCGAAGCATTCAATGTCTACTAAGACAGTAGCTTACTGTTTTAATATGGCTTTGCCGGCAGTCAGAGTCTTGCTATTGTTAAAATTGTGAAATTGATGAGCTGAACACCCAATTCGTGCACTTATTAATAAACTTACAGTTGCAATGAGTTTGTCGGAAGTCCATCTTTGCATCAGGTCTCCAATGTTAATCAATATGGTACCTGGAATCGGGGAGGCTGGAACATACTCTCCTTGTAGGTTACAAACCTATTTATGAAAACCAATATAAATGCAGTTGTATCAAAATATTGTTAAATAATATTTCCAGAGAATGTTTACTTCTGGTTTCGGACAGAAAAATAAATATTCTCAATACATGCAAGATGAATTTGAAGGCAACACTTTCGGTGTTGCAAAATATAAGAAAAATGCATCAGAATCTTAATGGATATAAATATAAGTTCAAGCCTCCATTTTAGACTGGCTGAACCGTGAAATACTATTTCGAATTGTTCGAAATATATCTCATAAGAACTCTTGACATAAAAGGAGACATATATTGTATGCATGGATTTTTAAAGTCGATTTACTTGCAGACCACCAACGTCGTCCTGAAACAGTAGTGTGAGGGAGCCAAAGTCCGAATGTTCTCCACAACGAATCTGGTTCGGTTTGATCTCTACAAAGTAAACGTGACCATTATATTGGTGACGAAGGGTACACGACCGTAATATTGAGTGGAATTTTCACAATTAATGGCTAAGCAAGGACTATTCAATTGTTACTATTGTTTCCATGACAACATAAAAGTACAATAATTCAATGTACCTTTTCACATGTATACTTTGGTGATTATTCCGTCCGAAAAAAGTTATTACGAACCATTTTGAATCAAGCACAAACGGCTTTATACTACAAGTATATCTAATTAAATGAAATACTGTCAAGAATTTACCGACGATCGTTCTCAAAATTGTCTACTTATGAACTTGTGATGGTAGTTATAAGCAATTCTTTGGAGAAATCATTACGATTTATTGAAAAAGGTATGACGTATGGAGTAGTAATCAAATGAACGACAACATCCTCTTTGCTAAGAATATGTAAATGACTTGATTATGTATGACTTGTCTAATCAATATTCCAGCAATATCGCGAACAGGAAAAGAAAAAATATCAAACTTTAAAGTAGCACACTTTTAGAAAATGTTATTCATGCTTGCTTCAGGATAACATTTGTTTTATATTCCGTCTTTGCGTATTGCAGAGTTATCTTCTCTTGAGAGCAGGGATTGATTGTTACGTCATTGGTTTGTGTGTGAAAATTACGTCGTTTTCTCAAAAAATGATGACGTTACTCTCAAAAACAAATGACGTAACAATCAATCCCTGTTCTCAAGAGAAGATAACTCTGCAATACGCAAAGACGGAATAGGTGTGTCACACAGAACATTTCGGTACCTTCATCAGACAGTAGTGATGGGTAAAAAATCGTTCTCAGTGTTGAGGTATTGCTCTTCTGTCCAATGGTTTGGTGGCAGTTTCTCAGGAAATGTTTGTCCTGCAATGCATTAGTAGAAACACACATTTTTTAAAAAGCGATTTATTATTCAGAAAATATATCATAATGGTAACTATTGAAATAATGTTCGTTCAGTATATCTTTTATATATTACATTGGTCATACATTTGTGGGCCAATAAAGCTAATAACGTCCCGACTTTACATGCAAACAGCCGGGGTTCGATCCTCTAAGCTGTCGTAGTGTACAATATTTAGAGAAATTGTCTTTCTCCTTCCCACACAAAGTGGTCTAGATGAGGCTGCAGTGTCTGTGGTGAAGAAATAAAGTGAGGAGGCAATATAAGAAAAGATGCCATTAGAAACACAGACTCAAATATATGATCACTGCATGCTAGATAATGTAAGATTACTTTATCCATTGAAATTGTACAAGCAGCTACATATGTACATTTTATGTGTAGTATGTGACTAAAAAGCAATGCCCCTTAAACATCAGTGTTATACGGACCATGGAACCAAATCAAAAATAGATTGTGGCCGGGATATTCCCTTTTGGGCAGAAGATTTAATAGGTAGGTGAATGCCTCGGGGCCTGCTGGTTGGATATTTAGGTGGCAGAAGTTTCAAAAGTTTTATTTGTGGGTTGAGCAATATATATAGTTGTAATATGCATAAAAAAAGAATAAAAAATCAAGTCTGCTTTTGTCTGGGCGAGTTTATTAAGTGTGTAATTTGTTGTAAAATTTTTGGTGCCGAATTAAATACAAGATGGCGGTCCCCATGTAAAAAAAGTTCAAATTGGCAAATTTTTTAAATATTTTATTTACAGTTGTGTGAGATGATATTCTTCAAAATGAGGGCAGGTAAACCAGTGATGATAACCCCATTTAACCAGGACAGTGTTAAACGTTAACACTATCGTCTATGGAAAATCATTTGGTTCTGCGGTCCCTATATCTATCGTCTTGAGTTTCCCATTTTTACGATAAGATAACACTCACCTCTAAGTCTAGGCCTATTGACATCAGGTCAAGAATTCTATGAGACAGCTGATGACATGCTGCACGGACATTCTTCATGGTAACCTCAAAGCTTGGACATCAGGGAAGATCTGATGAAAATAAATAACAATTCTGTTTAGGGAAAAAAGACATATTTATTCGGACAAAGAGCTATTTGAAAAATATACCGATTCAAATGTGGTAATTTGTCTGTAAAACATGACTTAAAGTATGGTATGAGTACACCTTTGTATTTAGTATCGTTTTACCTGTATATATAAGTCTGAAACGCGTTACAGTGTACTATACCTCAACTCCATCAATTGGTGTGTAGTTGTAAGCCTCTTTATAATCACAGGGTCGGTCTGGATTTAATCTTAATAAGACAATAAGTGATTCTAAACGTAATTGTGAGTAACAAACAAACAAAAACTAGCAGCAAAAAGCAACAATAGGCGACGATATTAACAACAACTTACAAAACAAAGAAAAGAAAATGCATCTGATTTACACAGTTGTTAACGGTTTACTTATACCGAAGTATTTTTGTGTCTTTTGAAATGGAAATTACTTCATTTTAATAGATACGAGTGTGTTTCTCGAATGTTGACTTCCTCAATAACAGATCGACCGGGCGTTTATATTTTTATGTTTTTACGTTTCTGTCTCCCGAGGAATCCATCCATGAATTTCACTAATATGTTGTCGTCGATATGTATTCTTGTACTCAAGTGGCTTTTCAAAGAACGTCCTCGACACTGCAGTCACTTGATTGATCTATGAAACAAGATATTAAATGAATGCACTAAGTAAACGGAATTCATAAAAATAGAATTGCAACCTGCATACATCTAATGATTATTATGTTGGAAGATCATTGGTATTTCATGTTCATCTATATATCCTAGTCATTGTACAATTTATTGATACATATAAGGAAGGTTTATTAGTTATACATATGAACATTTTTTTTTTATATTGACCTTCCATAGTTCTACACATATAAATGTCTCTGATCCCTTACCGTTTGTCAAAATGGATGACAACGAAATGACTATCACAGACAAAATTACAATGTTTCTGGAAAAGAATTCTCATCGCGTTTAAAAGGTATATCTTTATAATTATGTACATGTGAAAGGTCCGAGGTGAATGTAGTATCCCTAACGATGCTGGTATACTTGCTTGACAAAAAAAAGTCCACACTATACGATTGAATCAATAGAACTAATTCTATTGTTGCAGATAAGGCGAGTTATATTAACATACCAGAGACTGGCTAATTCCATGATTTTTGATGTAACAGAATCCAATGTCCCTCAAAGCTCCGCATAGACTGTCAGCCACAGGTCGGACAGTTTCTGTGTCCACCTCTTTTGCATTGACCACGTCAAGGCCGTACGCTGATATGTCTACTACTGGAACTGTCACCATATTCGCTATGCCACCAATTCAGACCTTGCTGGTTATATTGATATCTGTTGTGAAATGAGTTATGTAATGTTATTTAACATGTAAGGCGCCTTTAAACCTGCAACCGCTGAGCAAACTGTGTCTTTACACACTCGACAAACTAATTTCACAATGATTCTAATGCCAAAGTGTATAACATATTAAAATCATTGAAAGGAAAATTAGCCATTGCAATGTATTTTATAACCTGCGAAAATGCAATACGAAGTATGTGGGTGAAACTATCACAAAGCTCAGTATCAGAATAAACAGCCACTGCTTCTCTATTAAGAAGGACAAACCAGATTTCCAGGTAACAAGGTATTTTAATCTACCTAGCCAAAGTTGGAAGACATGCTGATGGTAACAACCGATCATTGCCCTACCTGAAATGATTTGACCCATTTTTAAATCATTTGACCCATGTGACCTTGATTTTCGAACAAGGTCATTCCGTTGAACAAACTTTAAAGCCTTTCATTTCAGCATGCAACTTGCCAAATATCACCATCCTAGACCTTTTGTTTAATGACATTAGGTCATTTACAGATCTGACCAAATGTGACCTTGAACGTGGGTCAAGGTCATTCAAATGACTTGAAAGCCCTTCATCCAAATATCAAAATTCTGGGCCTCATGGTTATTCAGAAAAAGTTGTTTAAAGATTTTAAACAAATTTGACCCGTGACTTTGAATATAAGTAAAGGTCATTCATTTGAAAAAACTTGGTAGCCCTTCATCCAAGCATGGTAATAGCCAGATATCATCATTCTGGGACTTTCGGGACATACGTTTCCAGCGTAGCCGAAATTGACATCGATTTTATGGACAACTCGTACACATTTGACACCTTTGTGTGCATACGCTTCACTGGTCATTTGTCTGATGAAGGTGACAGTGTACATATCGTACTAGTCATCGAAACGTCACATAGAAAATTGTATTGGGTGTGTAAAAGAACTTCTTATAAGATATGCAGAATTATTCGCAATATTATATATAAAATGTATATAAAGAAATATACCAGTATATAACTTTAGTGCATTTTACCTTTGTTCAGGGTGAAATGCCCGGATGAGAAATGTATACGATTAATAAAGACATTCAACCGTGTGCATAAAAATTAAATTGTGAATATGACATTAAATGGCAAAAACAAAAACAAAAAAATATTCCAAAACACCAATAAATGGGGACATAATACAACTTTGATGTCGCTAGTGTGTATCAATGAGAAATCGAATTCTCAATTATCTGACCCCGTTTTTAACGGTAACCCTTACAGTAGAACACTCATGATATATTCCGATGCGCTGCTTTAATTGGTGTTTCGTATACTTAGTCAAAATCGGGTACATTTGAGAAATATTTCATCCCCATCTCCATTCCCTCCTTAAAAAACCCAGTCATATCTTTGCATCTTTCTGACCGATTAAGAAAACCTACTTCTGAAGACGCAAGGTACGCCTTAGTTGCCTCATAAATTATATTGTTCTGCCGCCAGTGTGTATCAATTATATTGATATAAGATGTTTTTAACTTTTACTATTGAACAATATATTCATTTGAGCATTGGTAATATGCTCTGTTTCTTTTTCCATATATTTCATTGACGCATTTAATGCAAATACATTCATGCAATCCTTTTAAGACGTCGTAATTTCTAGACGTCCGCATTATGTGTACTTATATATACTTTATGACGTCATTTTTTGACGTCTTTTAAAAGTATGTGTGCTCAATATATGACGTCACAAATAAATTCAAATCGCATGAAGAGCCCCAAGGTGGGCGAAAGCGCTAGCCGATTATACTCATCCTCGATTTCCAGGGGTCACGATCACCTACGCAGAGAGCGTAGGTGATCGTAACCCCTGGAAATCGAGGATGATTATACTAGTCTTCGTGTTTTGTTTTATTTATATTTTTACTGTCACATGGACATTTAAAACTATTTATCGCTATATATATATAGAATTAGTTTCTGGAAATAATGCCGGTGTGATTTCTGTTAACATTTCCAAAAGTGCCTCTGGCGTTTCGCTCTATACCTCTATACACTACCAAATAACATATTGCAAAATAAATACAAACACAATTACAGACTAAGGACTTAGATAGAAGGATTGGCAACAGTTCAGTGATGTCGCTTATGTTTGCCCACCTAACGTTTAAGCTTGATCCTCACTTTGACTAGTATCTCCNAGGTGATCGTAACCCCTGGAAATCGAGGATAATTATACTAGTCTTCGTGTTTTGTTTTATTTATATTTTTACTGTCACATGGACATTTAAAACTATTCATCGCTATATATATATATGTACAACTGATCCCTTTGCACAAGAATTAGTTTCTGGAAATAATGCTGGTGTGATTTCTGTTAACATATCCAAAAGTGCCTCTGGCGTTTCGCTCTATACCTCTATACACTACCAAATAACATATTGCAAAATAAATACAAACACAATTACAGACTAAGGACTTAGATAGAAGGATTGGCAACAGTTCAGTGATGTCGCTTATGTTTGCCCACCTAACGTTTAAGCTTGATCCTCACTTTGACTAGTATCTCCCTGTAATGCACTTGCGTGCTGTCGTAAACAATTGGCTACGCCACGTTGTTTACCTACGTGACTGATAATGTGACACTGGTCAGTAAACAAATAATAACAAGGGCAAAAGCGGCAGGATTTAGAAACAATTTGTAACTAGTTTCAAGTTCATAAAAATACACTCTGTGAATATTGACTTGTATGAAAATTTATCATGCAATAATTATCAAAGCAAAGTGTTGTTTAATTTACAGTTTAAATAATTCATTATCAACTACAAAATACGCCTTTGATCGCAGACTTCCGTCTGACAACTGGTCATTTACGTCCTATTATATCACAATGTACGTAAAGTAATAAATCAGTATTTCAGGAAATCATAGTATAAGCTGTCGAAAAAATATAAAAGTTATATATTGTTTTAAACATTTATGAGGTCATACTAACATCGTGTTTCTTGGACATATTTACCATAAATCGCTAAAATTGAACATGTTCGGTAACAGCAAATATTATCAAATACAATAATAACAGTTACTTTGCCCTGTGAGAGAGAGACAAAACATAAACAAAAGCAGTACGTCTCATGACAGCGAGACTCATGTCAAATCCGATGCGACCACTCTTCCAGAGAACGGTTAGATTAGCCTTGCTAAGCGAAAGAAAGATATTTCCAATGTCGTAGAGATAGTTGGTCTTCAATCTAATCTTATTTCGTGATAGAAAGCAAAGGAGACATTGTAAGCGTTTGGTCTCCTCCAACATTAGCAGAGGAAATAACAAATATTAAAGATAAAACTAATAATTATGATCAAACCGAGTCCGTGTACGTACATGAAGTTCACCTTCCTGAAAATTGAAAACGTTTTTGAGAAACAAATGAACCTGACTTACCATGTACTGCAATCAGCAAAGTGCAATGATCTACATTTTATCTATCAGGTTTTCAGCGAACGTTATCATGATAAAGGGTGAAGATTAACACATACGCATACTATAAAATCTCTGTAATAAACCTGAATTAAAGATTTATGCATTTTTTTAAAGAATGAAATCAGAACAACCTAAACAGTTAATGTAATATTTGCATGCAAATAATTTGTTAGGTATGCATACTATTTCATTGACGCATTTAATGCAAGTACAGTCATGCAATACTTTTAAGACGTTGTAATTTCTAGACGTCTGCATTGTGTGTACTTATATATACTTTATGACGTCATTTTTTGACGTCTTTTAAAAGTATGTGTACTCAATTTATGACGTCACAAATAAATTCAAATCGCATGAAGAGCCCCAAGGTGGGCGAAAGCGCTAGCCGATTATACTCATCCTCGATTTCCAGGGGTCACGATCACCTACGCAGAGACCGTAGGTGATCGTAACCCCTGGAAATCGAGGATAATTATACTAGTCTTCGTGTTTTGTTTTATTTATATTTTTACTGTCACATGGACATTTAAAACTATTCATCGCTATATATATATATGTACAACTGATCCCTTTGCACAAGAATTAGTTTCTGGAAATAATGCTGGTGTGATTTCTGTTAACATATCCAAAAGTGCCTCTGGCGTTTCGCTCTATACCTCTATACACTACCAAATAACATATTGCAAAATAAATACAAACACAATTACAGACTAAGGACTTAGATAGAAGGATTGGCAACAGTTCAGTGATGTCGCTTATGTTTGCCCACCTAACGTTTAAGCTTGATCCTCACTTTGACTAGTATCTCCCTGTAATGCACTTGCGTGCTGTCGTAAACAATTGGCTACGCCACGTTGTTTACCTACGTGACTGATAATGTGACACTGGTCAGTAAACAAATAATAACAAGGGCAAAAGCGGCAGGATTTAGAAACAATTTGTAACTAGTTTCAAGTTCATAAAAATACACTCTGTGAATATTGACTTGTATGAAAATTTATCATGCAATAATTATCAAAGCAAAGTGTTGTTTAATTTACAGTTTAAATAATTCATTATCAACTACAAAATACGCTTTTGATCGCAGACTTCCGTCTGACAACTGGTCATTTACGTCCTATTATATCACAATGTACGTAAAGTAATAAATCAGTATTTCAGGAAATCATAGTATAAGCTGTCGAAAAAATATAAAAGTTATATATTGTTTTAAACATTTATGAGGTCATACTAACATCGTGTTTCTTGGACATATTTACCATAAATCGCTAAAATTGAACATGTTCGGTAACAGCAAATATTATCAAATACAATAATAACAGTTACTTTGCCCTGTGAGAGAGAGACAAAACATAAACAAAAGCAGTACGTCTCATGACAGCGAGACTCATGTCAAATCCGATGCGACCACTCTTCCAGAGAACGGTTAGATTAGCCTTGCTAAGCGAAAGAAAGATATTTCCAATGTCGTAGAGATAGTTGGTCTTCAATCTAATCTTATTTCGTGATAGA